AATCTAGATATGCATTGGAAAAATATAACCAGGTCAGAAAAAGAGAAGGGTGACAGGCCCAGCAGAGGTGGAACTGGGGCCAGTTGGGGGTATAAACTGAAGAGAGGAGATAATGAAATCAAGAATCCTGAGTTCTACTCTACTCAATCTTCTGTGATAATCTATATGAGAAAAGAAGCTGAAAAAGCATGGATATATGAATATATATATGAATATGCATGCAATGCAGGAGACACAGTTTCAATCATTGGGTCGGGAAGATCCCCTGAAGGAGGAAATGGCAACAAACTCCAGTATTCTTGCCTGGAAAATTTCATGAACACAGCAGTCTGGCAGGCTAAGTCCATGAAGCCACAAAGAGTCCTACATGACTGAGCATGCACACATGCACACTCACATATGTATAACTGAATAAATCTGCTGTACACCTAAAACTAACACAACACTCTGAATCAACTATAATCCAATAAAATTTTTGAAAAGTTTTTTTTTTTAATAAGCGGAAAAAAAATAATCCTAAGTTCTAACGTCATATGTCACATTAACCTTCATGGCTTCTAAAGTCACTTTGCCTCTTAGAACCAAGACTTTCTGATACACCAAACCAGGAGGTCAGACTAATAATTTCTCAGGTTCCTGCCAACCCTACCATGCTGTGATTTCAGCTGTTCCCCTTGTCACCCATATCATTCTTTCTGCTGCATCTCTCATCATCATCTTCAGGTCTGTGTGGACACAAGCTACAGATAAGTGTTGGGTTGACAAAGGGGCATGAAGCATTTGGAAGAATGGAGAACAAAGTAACAGCCTATATTTCAAAGGAAAAGCCACTTTGTTAAATATTCACCCCTTAGAAGTTGCACTGACTCTTCTATCATACATGCAATTCTTTGATATCCAGTAATGCGATAAATAGCTGCCAATACAAGTGCTTGAAATGCTAACAGACCCTTGCATACTCCCATATCTGATGACCTTCGCAGTAGATATAACTAAGGTGGTCAAAATTCCTGAATTCGTGTATTTGCAACATGCCACAGACTTCATGGGCTTCCAAGGTGACGCTGTTGGTAAAGAACCCACCTGCCAATGCAGGAGACGTAAGAGATGCTGGTTTGATCCCTTAGTTGGGAAGATCCCCTGGAGGAGAGCATGGCAACACACTCCAGTACTCTTGCCTGGAGAATCCCCATGGACAGAGGAGCCTGGTGGGATACAGTCCATAGGGTTGCAAAGAGTTGGGCATGACTTAAGCAACTTAGCACACAAGCATGCATGGGCCTTCATACATTCTCCTAAATTGTATTCCTGCTAAAAGTGACATATTACTTGTGTTGAGCCTCAGATCACAAATTAAGTACTCTTAATTAATTATACCATCACTCATTCAATCTCACTCTGACATATTTTGTCTTGGTTGGAGCAGTTAAAGTAAATAATTTTACAAATTATTTTCATTCAAAAACAGGGCGTAAGGTGAATAGATTTGCATCATGGTTTCAACTCATGAGTGGATTGACATTCTGCTGCAACGTGTCTTTACTACTTGCGGGCTGAGACTAGTCACTTTCTCAAGCTTCTCCACATTTTCTCAGCATCCACTTATAGGACAAACTCTTGGTTTTCTCTTCTTGGCCTTTTATTTTCATAAAGACAATAAGTTCTTACTATCTATTAACAAAGAAAATTTTTAAACCTAGTTGGGATATATTCAAGTGCCCTAAGTCATCCAACTTTGTGAGCTCACTTTTTCTATAATGTTAAAATAACTTCAGCCCCTATCACATATTACATGTAATTACTACAGGAAGTCCAGCACCCTTAATGAAGTAGGAAGCAATATGATTATAAACCTTTATTTGTGTTACATATACCAATACCATCCATGATACTTGCTCACTCACAAACTGAGTGACCTACAGCTGACACAAATCTCACAGTTCTGCAGTTCATTCATAAGTTTTTCCATTTTTTTGACTCACCAAACACATGCATTTTAGCTTGCATTTCATTTAAACTCAATCCTCAAAACCTTATGAGGTAGGTGTTATTATGATTCCCCCAAGATGGGGTCCAGAAAGGTTCAATAACCAATTCAAGGTCACTTGTCACTGGTAACAGAGCCAAGACTTGACTTCAGCTTTACCCCCAAAGCCTCCTTGAAATACACTCTTTAGCAAAATTGGAGATGGCTACATGGGAGGCACCTCATGACGCACTTTCAAATCACTGGTATCGCAAAATTATGTTCACAAACGCCTCAACATGCTGGTCACGACTCCATGTCAGAAATGATGCTGCAGGTAGTGACAAGGATGCAGCTGGACCTGGAAACAATTACATATGAAAAAGTCACCTATAAGTATAAACCCAAAGAATATCTATGTCTATTAAGTAAGTGCAGAATTACTTATATTTATTCCTTTATAGACTAAACTATGACTGGACTTGCTTGCAAATTATGAATATTAAAACTGGCTTTTAAATTTTTGCTTTCCACTGTTTTTTTGACTATCATAAAGATCATCACACTGAAAAACTATTTAATCTTCGGCCTCTACCTACCTGTCAACTGTTAACACATTTCATTTGACTGTGGATCCAGTATTCTTGCCTGGAGAATTCCAGGGACAGAGGAGCCTGGCGGGCTATAGTCCATAGCATCACTGAGCGACTGACACACACTTGAATAAAATGTCCACCGTCTCATGCTAGCTTCGACTTTGGTAAAGACATAAACACCGTTATTAACACTGTGAATTTAAAACAAGTTTCTACCCAATCAAAAATTGGGCCAAAGAACATTTAAACAGCTAAACAGACATTTCTCCAAAGAAGACATACAGATGGCTAAAAAACACATGAAAAGATGCTCAACATCACTCATTATAGGAGAAATGCAAATCAAAACCACAATGAGGTACCATTACACGCCAGTCAGGATGGCTGCTATCCAAAAGTCTACAAGCAATAAATGCTGGAGAGGGTGTGGAGAAAAGGGAACCCTCTTACACTGTTGGTGGGAATGCAAACTAGTACAGCCGCTATGGAAAACAGTGTGGAGATTTCTTAAAAAACTGGAAATAGAACTGCCATATGACCCAGCAATCCCACTTCTGGGCATACACACCGAGGAAACCAGATCTGAAAGAGACACATGCACCCCAATGTTCATCGCAGCACTGTTTATCATAGCCAGGACATGGAAGCAACCTAGATGCCCATCAGCAGATGAATGGATAAGGAAGCTGTGGTACATATACACCATGGAATATTACTCAGCCATTAAAAAGAATTCATTTGAATCAGTTCTAATGAGATGGATGAAACTGGAGCCCATTATACAGAGTGAAGTAAGCCAGAAAGATAAAGACCATTACAGTATACTAACACATATATATGGAATTTAGAAAGATGGTAACGATAACCCTATATGCAAAACAGAAAAAGAGACTCAGATGTATAGAACAGACTTTTGGGCTCTGTGGGAGAAGGCGAGGGTGGGATGTTTCAAGAGAACAGCATCGAAACATGTATATTATGTAGGGTGAAACAGATCACCAGCCCAGGTTGGGGGCATGAGACAAGTGCTCGGACCTGATGCACTGGGAAGACCCAGAGGGATCGGGCGGAGAGGGAGGTGGGAGGGGGGATCGGGATGGGGAACACATGTAAATCCATGGCTGATTCATGTCAATGTATTACAAAACCCACTACAATATTGTAAAGTAATTAGCCTCCAACTAATAAAAAAAAAAAAAACAAGTTTCTGATTTTGGTGTCAGGTCATTTTGATTAGAAAAAAGATTTTAAAAAATTTAAAGATTATGAGGTTAAAATTTCTTCAAGTACAAAAAAGCATTTCCAGCTTAATCCATTACTCTTCTCCCCTTTCAAGCTGGGCCTAGGAGGCAGGGTGAGGTAAAGTATATTCGGATCTCAACCTCCCAAGCATTTGAGTCCAATTAACAGGTGGATAAGAAATTTACTTTTCTTAATAGAGTTATATGTCTGGGATTTATTTAGTGGTTTTGAGGGAGACTAGAAAACAGGATTGCAAATAGGGTGGGAAAATAAGCCAGAAAAACCAAGATAATTTCCAGTTGAATTATGACCTCAAATGGATTCCGGAGAATGGAATTTCCATAATTCACAATCCTATTATGGGCTATTTCTGGAGCCTTTGGGGCTGAGAGTAATATCCTCTGTAGAGTTCTAAACATATTTCCTGCCCTGTTAGTTTTTGCTCTGCATCCCCCATTTCACTAATTAATTGTATTTTATATGCTAACAACTTCCTAAAAGGAATTGAGGTGGCTTGTTACAAATGCCAGAGAAATGGAATCATTAACTGAAGGGGAATTACAGGGAAAAAGAGCTATATCATTAAAGGAAGAAATAGTGGTACCAGGATACCAGTCTAAGAATAATGATGACAACTGAGCAGAAATAAATGTAAGTTTCCTCATTCCCTGCAGTCACTGAAAACATGTTTACACCATGTGGTGAAGATCTGTAAGAGTAAAACATCTAAACAAGCTCTAGAAGGGCAATTGCTAAGAGAAAACACAGTCAGATTGTAGAAAATTTGATGGAGGTGACAAGACATAGTTGTCACTCAAACAGAGGAAAAGCATCCTATTAAAAGTAAAACGAAAGGGTCCTAATAATAGAGAAGTTAAAACAACTGGAAATGTTTGTTCCCTATGAATAAACCCTTCCTTCAGAGCTTTTGGGATGCAATATTAATTCGAGACAGGGGCAGGAAATAACCAAATGTCACCCAAATGATCTGGAAGTTAACGTAACCTCCTAGCATATGATTTACTGTCAAGAAAACAATTTACTCTCAGTTAGATTCGGCCTGGAAAATTCACTTCCAAAAATGGGAGAGGGAATGAAAAAAGAATATATATGTATATGTATACGTATCTGTATACATATACGTATATATGTGCCCAAGCAGCTTAACTGCTTCGGTCCTACAGAGTCAGGGTCAATTACAGATGGAAGGAGCAAGAACTGAACATTTGCTCTGGAATCGGTGCTGCTGCCAAGTTCATGGTGGGGGAGCGGGGCCGCAGAGGCTCCCCGGTGCGGTGCGGGCCGGCTTGGAGCGGCTTTCCCCGGACTTTGGTGGGTCCCGCCCTCGCCAGCACATCTGGCAGGCCCCGTCTGGCACTGCACTCGGTCGAGCAGCCCATCAGGCGGGTCTGCTGCCTGCGCCTGGGGGACAATGCGGCTTTTCTTAACCGTCCACGCGCTGGGCTTCCGCGCTCCCACACCGCGTCTGCCGCGCCGCTCTCGGCTAAGTGAAGGACCTGCAGACAGGATGACATGTCCCACCCCGGGTCTGCTGTCCCAGACCCGCTCCGATAGCAAGCGATTTCCGCACCAGGAGAACACATGGGCCTTTGTGCGACGTGCATCTGGAAAACTTCCCGGATCATGCATCTGCCCTGTGATTTACACCTTGCCGAAGAAGGCTGACCTGCAGGAAAGCGAGCGAATCTCTAAGCGGTGGGTGGGCTGGGCTCCCTCCCCCAACCCCGGCTTCCCTCTTATTCTGAGAAACAATCGTGGGTGTTCCCACCTCCCCAAAACTCCCTCCCCTGAACGAGTGGGGGTGGGGAGCTGCTTCCTGGCTGAATAAAGCTGAAACACCTGTGTGGCAGAAACAGGCAGACGGAGACAGACCCATCTGTGCGGCTAGCTTTACTCGGAGGTTAGGGTGGGAAACTCACATCCTCGCCAGCCGAAGATTCCTTTGGTCCTGATTCTCCCCAGTCGCTTGCAATTCTTTTGCTCAACATTTCTCTCCTCCCAAGGAGGGCTTCTCTCTACCCAAGGATGAACGTGCCATGCCAAGAACAACCTGGTGCATTTAAAAGGCCTGAAAGGCAGTTGTATTTCAGGGGATATCTCCCCTGCCTTCCTTACTCATCCTGCCCTTTTATGTGGGCTGGAAGGACACCCAGAAAGAAAAGCAAAACCATCTTCAGCGTTCACTGAACCTCTGTCATCAAAAGCCTGTCCTCAATGCAACGGCTGTGAGATGTGTGCTGAGCTTCATTCATCCTGAAAACATTCTCTGAGCACCAACCTGCCTGGTGTTGTGCTGAGTCTGGGAGGTGAGACAGCTGGCAAAAAGGCCTCATCAAAGCTGGTGGATGAGGGCAGTAAAAACAGCTGCCCGGTATTGCAAAAATAATGTCACATCTAATACGTTGAATGGTATTTCCATTTTTATTCTGGTGCTTGTATTTATAACTGGGTTTCTTTTTCTCTCACATATGGCAAGGTCCATACACACCATAGAAGAGGCCCAAATTGCTTAGTATGATAGGTGTAACATGTAAGTAGCATGTGCAGGCAACTAATGAGAGTTTTGTGAGAATAATAAGACGTTAAGAGTTGGAACCCATTAGGAGCAGCCCTCTAGTTACTACTACACAAATAAACCTTTTATACAGATAGCAAAAATGGCCCAGGGTATGGGGAGTGAGTAGGTGTGGGGAAGAGATGGGGATTATCAATGAGGGCCTAAATAAATCAGACAGTAATAGTTGTTGTGGGTTTTTTAAAAAGACTTTTTAGATATTAGACTTACAGAAGAGATGAAATTGTACAGAAAATGTTTGCAGATCCTACACTCAGCTCTCCCTCTAATATGAACACCTTGCAAAACCATGATACATGCATTCCCAAATAAGACCTTAACATTGGTACAATGCTATTCACTCTGTGACAGACTTTACTGAGATTTCACCGGTTTTTCCACTAATGTCTTCTTTCTGTTCTAGGATCTCAGCCAGGATATCGCCCTTTCATATCTGAAAAGAGTTCTGGCCCTTAGGATCTGTGAAATGCAGAAAAGGAGATAGGAAACAAGACAGAGTGAAAAGGCAGGATTCTGGGATTACTTGTTTTTTAATCTACCTTCAAGGAGAACAGAATGCCTTAGAAAAGTGGTTTTCCTGACCCCCAACTGTCTTCTCAAACCTGGGAAAAAGGAAAGATCAAGTACTCTCTTTTTGATAGTCATGTTACTCTCTAGGGACCCAACAACCAACCACTCTGATGCAGCTCTGAGTATTCTTTCCATTTCACAGATGGGGAAAATGAAGGCCTCACTGAATACGTGTTTAAGATCACAAAGGCCCGTGGAACACATGATAAGACTGAGACTAAGGCTTAATGAGAAATGAGCTCAGCCCTGAAGTCTCAGTTGCTAACCCTTATTACACGAAATGACATTGATTTGCAAGGAAAATGCTTTCTCAGGGGAAAATGAGAAGGAGAAACTGAAGCTAGAGTCCCTAAGCACGATTGGGTGTGGAGTGGTGGGGGAGAAAGCATCCGTATTCCTGTGGGTGATGAACTCTGGTTGGCACAAGAGCAAAGTCTAGTAATTGTCAATTGGCTTAAGCTGCCCTCGCCAGGCAGCTAAATCATGTGGGACTTTCACATGTGTGATGTTTGAAAGCCAGTGACTTGGACTGGCCCATGTGTTCCCTAGACCTTGAAGTCCAAATTACAGTCGAGGCACATTTGGAAAAGACCGGCTGGGTTCTGGACTCAGGAGTCAGAGGGACTCACTTCCCAATGCTGCAAATCTGTGAGTCCAGCAAAAGTAAACCTGCTGGAACTTTCGCAGCAGGTATTGCACTGACTGTAAATACCATCCATCTTAGTCACGATTACAAACAGCTCTCCCGCCTGCTCTCTCCATCCATCCCCTTCTCTCAGGCAAAAGCATCAGCGTGGAGCAAAATGTGCTCATTTCTTTGCACCAATAACTGCTGTCAGGAAGTGGGACCCTCCCTGGATCAAAGAGGCTTCCTTAGCCTGGCAGCGTGTGGCAAAGGGAACTTTCTCCAAAGCCTCTCTCTGTCTCAATATTAGGCATTCTTTTATAGTTTCAAATTAACATTAAAGAACAACCACACAGTGATTCAGGACCCTGACCGACAACGACAAAAAAAGAAAAAAATAGGGATCCGTCCACAATAACTCTGTAAAATGCACCAACTGGCACATTTTAAATGACTCTTTAGTAACAGAGGGGAGGGAAAAAAAAAAGCATATGAGGTAAATCCTTCACCGGGTAACTCACCAGGGAGACTGGTAAAAATAAATTGCACAGCTCTAATTTTCCTAGCAGCTTCCATGTATTCTTTGAAACTGAGTAGAACCTCTTGGCCTAATCCCAAGAGCCGATCTATAGTAAATAGTGCACACTTACTGCCTAAGTTCCTTTTTAGCACCATTCAGACAGTGACTTCAGCCGCAGAGCTTAGTCATAGCAGACATTTTTGTGGTGAAAGCATTAAACCCACATGCAGCTCTCTTTCTGCGGCCACTGGGGGTCATGCTCCCTTCCCATTAGCTGAATAAATCATAAAGTCGGCTCAGACCACCCAAGGAGCCCGACCAGAGAGCCACAGGCCATGCCTACAGCCGCTTATTTCTTTTCAGAATCTACAAGGGGGAGGGAAAAAAAAAGAACAGGAAAAAGAAAAACAAGAAAAACAACACCGAGAAACAGACGGACCGTAGGAAATCATTGGATTTTTTTTTTAAATGTGATCTCTTTGAGAGTAACCTCAAGACTTGTTTATTTGTTTATTTATTTTGTTCCAACTGGGGAGTCTGATTTAAGAAGAAAAATAGGAGAAAAATACACACACAGGCATGCCTTTTGTCACAGGCTGGAGTGGGCTGACAAATTTTTTTTTCTCCACCCATTGTGGATTTTTGAAATGAAGGCAGGCCGCCCTGTGTGGCCGCGCTCCTCAGGTGGTTCTGATAAGACACAACGCAGATGCTCCCCGGGGGCGCTGAGCATCCGGCGAGTTTGTGTGGCCCGTGGGGATTTTAACGAGGAAGCGAACGTGTTGGGTAACGTTCCCTGCGTCCAATGATTCACTCCGCCTGGGAGAAGGATGGTCGGGGAGCGAGGTCTGCAAAGTCACGTTCCCATCAATCAGTAAATAAGATAAGAGGCAGGAATTTTAAACACAACTATTAGCAGGCGACTCCCAGCGCATCCACAAACCGCAACTCATTCTGTTAAGCGGTCTCTGCGGGGGAGGAAGCGGGGAGGTTGGCGAGGAAGAGGAGGAGGAGGCAGCTGGGAGGTTTTTTACTTGCATTTTTAAAGAGTGCGCTGAACTTTAAAAGAACGCGGCCCAAGTCTAATAGGCAACTGAAATGGGGACCATTTGTCCTTTCAAATCTATGACCCCTCCCTCAAGTAGAGAATGACCCAAAGGGAAGGACGCTCAAGGTGGGTTCTGATGATTTCTGGAAGACTCTGGGATAGGCAGCATCCAGGATCCTGAAGGAATTTGAAGCAAAACGAGGGTTCAGTCACTTAGGTCTCCAGGAAACGGCCTCCTTTGTGTCTGACAAATTTCAGTGCCTGATCTTGAGACTTGTTAGTAAGTTTTCATTGGTTACTCACGACAACAAAGTTCTTAAAGTAACAGACAGTATTTAACTTTTGCCTAACATCAGGAGGCTGCTGCGTTTTGTTTTTTTAATGAGAAACCACGCAAAACTGCCTAGATACTCTCCAAATTCTCAGTCTTCAATAGTCCTCTTGCTGCTCAGGAAGGAACAGCCAGTCTGTCCACATAGGACACCACATGGTGATTTTGTGACTCAGGCCCACCAGGGAAGAGGGCAAGGCCACTTATATAATCTGTGACCTAATATGAGAGTCCTAGGGTCATCATGAAGCAATTCTATCAACAGTCCACAAGTCCTGGAAATCACAGCAAGAGGACAGAGGGGAATCCATCTCATGATAACCTGCAGCCCATTAAACTGTTGGTAATTAAAGTCTTTATTTACCAGATTACATACAGCTTTCACTGGATTATAAAAGTCTCCTTGCAGGGTGAATGAAAAGCTGTGCCCACACAGCTAACCCTTCACTCACAAACGTTCACTCATCCTTGTGGAATGACTTTCATTTCTCTTTCTTTCCTGCACGTATTTTCCACATCATTGAAAAATAAAACATTCTTGAGCAGATGTTCTGAAGCCTCCTTCCTGAGTCAGAGCGCCTGGAAGAATTAGACCAACTGTTGCCTGGTGTCTAACGGCTTATCTGTGACCCACCCAACTCCATGTCCCCCCGACCACGCAGCGTAGACAGAGTGGCCCGCATCTGTATCTGAGGGGCTGCTTGCATTGCAGGAGAAGGTAAACAACCCCAAAGAAAGTAGTCCAGAAAAAATAAAAGCAGATGAAACGTCTTTTTTTTTTTTTTAATTTGGAAACAGTCGCCTTGTAACATTTATAGACTTTAGTCACTTGGGAGATTAGCTCTTGTACTGTGTAATTGGCAACTTTCTCTCATGCAGTTAACCTCTGCCAGAATTAATTGTGTATGTGTTTGTGTGTGTGTGTGTGTGTGTGTGTTGCTAAAGCTTTGTGTGTGCATATGGAGGGTCTTGAGGCTACACTATACTATTTGGATACACATGAGTTGGAAATTTTTCTCTCTATTGGTTGTGAGGTATACCATTGAGAAGCTGAAACTTTGAGTCATAGCAATTAAGACATGAAGTAGATGAAAGTGGACGGCTTTGCTTCATAAACTGTTTTAAAAACAAGTCACCTACCTCCCACTTAACACTGACCACAGTTCTCAAGACCTGTCTTTGGGGGCCACTACCTGTCTTTCTCGGAGAAGGCAATGGCACCCCACTCCAGTACTCTTGCCTGGAAAATCCCATGGACGGAGGAGCCTGGTGGGCTGCAGTCCATGGGGTCGTGAGGAGTTGGACACGACTGAGCAACTTCACTCTCCCTATTCACTTTCATGCATTGGAGAAGGGAATGGCAACCCACTCCAGTGTTCTTGCCTGGAGAATCCCAGGGACGGGGGAGCCTGGTGGGCTGCCGTCTATGGGGTCGCACAGAGTCGGACACGACTGAAGCGACTTAGCAGTACCAGCAGCACCTGTCTCTCTAGTCTTGTCCTGGATTCTGGTCTCTGCTCAGACTGTCTCCTTCCATTTGTCTTGCCTTCTCCCCAAAGTTTACTTGCCCCCCTCAATGTAGCTAAACTCAACTACTATAAAACTAGTTACAGACTATGTGAAAAATCCAAGTTTACGACACAATCAGCATTCCATTTCTTCTCTTGTCTAAAGTGTAAAATTAATGAACAATAATGTCTTCATTAAGTGAAACTACCACCATCACCACGACTGCCACCAAGCACTTAATCAAGTTGAACCATAGGAAACTTTGCCTACATTCAACTGTTTACAGTCTACATATTTTTTATCCCTATATAGAGAACTTATTAGATGCCTGGTACTGTCAGAAATAGCAGGCATGGTATTTTTTTTTTTTTAATGCAATAGAGCAATCCTAGTTGAATGCCAGCTGTGTAACCTTGGACAAGATTTCTGATCTTTCAGTGACTCAGTTCTTATGTATAAAGTGGGGATAATGATGATACCTCAACAAGTGTTGGCTATTAGTATGATGTACCAGAGGCAGAAAGATGATAAGACATGACCCTGCCTTTGTGAGCCTCGTAGTCTTATGAGGATGTACGGTGCTGAGTCCAGGGCTGTTACTGGCTTACCTGGTAGCTTTGAATTAATTAGCAAAGGATCTGCCCTTGAATAGATGCACTTGTCCCCAGAGCAGAGATCTTCCTTGCTGGGCTCAGCCTGCCACAGTCGTCGGCTGCAGTCCCATCAAGGGCTGAGGTGGAGGCGGGCATAGGGAACTCCGATAGCGTGGTGGATAGGCATCCAGCCCAATCAGAGGCTTCCCTTTAAGCAAAATCATTTTTGCTATACTCCAGGTTTGAAACATAAGCAAAGAAATTCCATTAAAGCCAAATCATTGAAGTTAGAAAATCTTTGACTTTTGTGTATCTATGGTTATGAGCGGCTCCCCTGCGAGTAGAAAACATGGCTTTTTCCCTGTTCGCCTCTTTCCTCCCAACACTAGAGACCTGTGGCTTCTTAGTGTCCTCACACATTCCAAGCAAGTTTCTGATTCTCCCTGGCCTCTTTTTTGGCCCTAGATACTCAGTTTTTGGTTTTGTTTTGGCCATGCTACCTGCTACCCCTGGGATCTTAGTCTCCCTATCAGGCAGGGATTGAACCCATGCCCCCAGTGTTGGAAGCACAGAGTCTTAACCACTGGACTGCCAGGGAAGTCCTCAGTTTTTGAAATACAGGATTTTGGAACTTATAGCCAAGACCTACAGGCAGTATCTCAGCATACTTCTCATTTCTTACCAGGATTTCTACCTTCCTCCCAGAGGCTCCTCAGCCCAACCTCCCACCTATAACAAAACACCAGAGGGCTCCCTGAATTCAGGCACCTCTCTAAAGTACTCAAGACATTCCTAACTATCTAAACACATCTTCCCTGCTGAACATGGGGAGTATTTTATATACAAGATCCTCTTTGTATCATGTTTTATTAGTACATATAAAACCTCAAAGATGTATGTTGAATGAGGAGGAAAGTGTCACCTTGTGTTCTGCTTCAGAAAGGTCCGGGAAGTTCTGCTCTGAGAAAGAGATGTTGTCTGTGGACAGAAGAAGGTGGAACACAGATCGCCCTCTCAAGGAGCCCATGGTCCACAAGGCAAGGCCACCAAATAATCAGATTATTCCTTGATGGTGAAATGTGAGATACAAAGAAATTGCCTGCACCCTACAGAAACAAATAAATAAAATGAGTGGTAGTCATGCTAAAGATGCAGAGTGAATAGATAAGTAAAGGAGCAAGCTATGAGCAAATAGTCAGTAGTTAGAGTGGAGAAATAGGTGCTAAGTTGGGAAAAGGACCCTCAACCCATGAATGGAGGCAAGGAGATAATCATGGGGGCAAAGTGTGAATATGACATTGATTAGTTCCTGCTCAATGGTCCAGCTTGTGTTGGGAACAAAGCCATCTGTGTATGGGAAGGGATTGGGGGGCAGATGATTACAAAGGATGGACAAGGTTTGGATTGTGCATTGAGGAGAATGAGAGAGCTGAAAATGAGAAGACAGCAATAAATGACAAAAAATTCCAGATGAGTTGGGAAGGCAGAGACTACAAGAATGCCAATCATCTTGTCTGTGCAGTTTCTCTCTTTGGCATGGAATTACCAAGGAAAAAGATTAGAGGAGGTAGATTTTCATTTGATTCAGGCTTGGGGTTCAAAGATACAGACACTGGTCAGAGTAACTTATGTGATTGATTAGGAGGTCTAGTTTGGGCAAACACTCCTTCCTGCTCTTAGGATGAATTCAAATCATTAAGCAGTAACCCAATAACCCTTTCTAGTTGGTCTCTGCCTTTGGTACTCTAGCAACCTTTATTCTTTGGCATGGCTTCTATATCCCAGACTCACTGGGCTATTATCAGTTCTTTTGCATACCTTAAAAGTGCAACCATCTCAGACCTCAGAGTTTTTAAACGTGCTGGTCTCTTTGTGGGAATACCGTTTTCACATTCTGCCTGGATGGCTTCTCCTGGTTCTTCCATTTCTATCTAAAAGTAGAAATCTTCTCAGAGACAAGCTTCTCAGAGAAACCTTCTTAGGCCCCTTGGCTAGGTAAACTCACTGCACCTACACACTATTCCTTGATGTTCATTGTGCTCATAATTACTTGCCCACTATTTCCTTCCCCTACTTACTGCAAGTCCATTGACCGTGTTTCTCATATTTACTATTGCAACCTGTGTCTTTCATGATAGTCTGTTCACAGCAATGCTCAGTGGACATGTATTGAGAGAATGACTAGAGGAATTGGTCACTGTAAAAGGCATTCCCAAGGCCACCAGGTATGCAGCCAGAGAGTGAGCAAGGACAGATGACAGGTTGGTTGGATGGCTGGAGATTAAGCGTAGGGAGTTGGAGAACTTTTTTCACAAAAACATTCCTCAAGATGTCAAGAGGAGAAGGTTGCTCAAGGTGAACTATGGACTTGGGATATATGAATCTCAGAGGACTGGATGGCTGGTGTGTTAGATGCTTTACTTGTCCAAGTGAATACTGAAAGCACTCAAATTACTGGTGCAACTCTGCCTGGAAAGCAGCATAAAAATCTAGGGTCGAAAATCTTTTGCCAATAATGGAGAATGATGAAAAAAATCAGTAGATAACATACTCAAGGAAAAGCAGGCGGTAAAGCTATGAGGTTTGCAGCTCAAGGAAAGAGGAAGACTAGTTAGTCATCGTCAATATTTCCTGCTTATTGGACCTGACTGGTGGAATTGGCATAGTGTCATGGTGTGGGCTCTAAATCTTTGTCTAAAGTACAAGACATCGGTATAATTTAGAAAGGTTAGTAAAGTAATGCTCAAAATTCTCCAAGTCAGGCTTCAGCAATACGTGAACCATGAACTTCCAGATATTCAAGCTGGTTTTAGAAACGGCAGAGGAACCAGAGATCAAATTGCCAACATCCACTGGATCATCGAAAAAGCAAAAGAGTTCCAGAAAAACATCTATTTCTGCTTTATTGACTATGCCAAAGCCTTTGACTGTGTGGATCACAATAAACTGTGGAAAATTCTTCAAGAGATGGGAATACCTGACCCCTGACCTGCGTCTTGAGAAACCTGTATGCAGGTCAGAAAGCAACAGTTAGAACTGGACATGGAAAAACAGACTGGTTCCAAATAGGAAAAGGAGTACGTCAAGGCTGTATATTGTAACCTTGCTTATTTAACTTCTATGCAGAGTACATCATGAGAAACACAGGGCTGGAAGAAGCACAAGCTGCAATCAAGATTGCCGGGAGAAATATCAATAACCTCAGATATGCAGATGACACCACCCTTATGTCAGAAAGTGAAGAGGAACTAAAGAGCCTTTTGATGAAAGTGAAAGAGGAGAGTGAAAAAGTTGGCTTAAAGCTCAACATTCAGAAAACTAAGATCATGGCATCTGGTCCCGTCATTTCATGGGAAATAGATGGGGAAACAGTGGAAACTGTATCACACTTTATTTTTTTGGGCTCCAAAATCACTGCAGGTAGTGACTGCAGCCATGAAATTAAAAGACGCTTACTCCTTGGAATAAGTTATGACCAACTTAGATAGCATATTAAAAAGCAGAGACATTACTTTGCCAACAAAGGTCCGTCTAGTCAAGGC